GTACTGAGTAAAAATAAACAGTTAGATTTTCCAAAACACATTTATTTGGAGGTGACAAAATATGTTTTTCTAACAGCGTGCAGCTGTGATGGGTTGTGTACAAGCTAATAGTGTGTCAGAATGGTATATATTTATACTTCTCATCCAAACACAATTAAATTCACTCTATAGGAGACACAGTTTATCAGGAGAGGATTTTATTAAGTAACAACTCAGAATAAAACCGGAGTAACGACTTTCTACTTTTTACCTTTTTTTAAAAATGTAGTGAGTAGAAAGTACAGATAATTGTGTAAAAATGTAACGAGTAAAAGTAAAAAGTAGAGGTCCTACGCTGAAAAATAATTACTCAAGTAAAGTACAGATAACCAAAAATTCTAAAGTACAGTAACAAAGGGTTTATGACTCTGGAATCCTCCAGGACAGAACCAGAACCTGATCATACTAGGGGCCAGCGATATTTTTGGCTGATATTTGTGTTTTTTCCTTGTATCAGCTGATACCTTCGGCTGATCCGTTCTTTGGGTCACGTGAGCGCATGTGTCCGCCCCCTCCCTGAGAGAGAGCAGCTGCTAATGTGAGACAGAGTAACAAAAATAAGGGTGAGTTATGAATGTTTAATGTGTTTTAACTGTTTCTGCTGCCCTCTGTGTCCGACTCTGAGGAGGACAGAACAGCTGTGAGTTTTAGTTTCACTTTGGAACAGGAGCGCCATGTTTTCACTTTCTCTTTGGTATCAGAATGTAATCAGCGTGTCCGCGTTGTTTTTCTTTTAAAAAACGCTGGAGCTGCTGACAGGAGGAAGAGAAGAACCTGTGTTGTTCTCCCTGCTGGATTAAAACAAAAAGCTCTCGGTCTTTTCTCGTTCTGTTCATAAAGAGCTGCCGTCCACCATGTGAAGCAGGCAGACTCTGTTTGCTCTGACTGCAGTATAAAAGTCCTGATGCAGGTTTTCTGCAGTGAACATTTCAAACTGAGATCTAAAGCTGTTTAAAGTGTAAAAAACAAGCGCAGATTGAGGCAGTGTGAAGTCCTCACAAAGATAGCAAGATGTGTATGTGTCTCTCCTTTTCTCTGTTCCTGTTTTTGCATAAAAAATGCTGGGATATTAAAACACGGTCATTTTATTTTATGTAAATAATATATTAATCTGATTAATATATAAATAAAAACAGAATATGTAGCACTAGATAAAATAAATCTTTTTCTTTAAAGAAATAACTGAAAAAAGAAACCCTGTGGCAGCACTTCACTCAGCGTGCACCAGACAAGGTTCAGTTAATAAAGGTTTCTTTTCTGTTTAAAGTGACACCTGTGTAACATTTGTTATTGTTATCAAGTTAATGGAGGAAGAAAAAGCAGTTTTGGCTTCAAGAATCGGCCAAAAAACAATCAGCTGCATATATCTGTTAGATAATCAGTAGCTGAGTTTCCATTACAAATGTGCGCAAAACTTTGTCGATATTCTATTAATGTTGAAAAAACACAGTTTCACAACTGCAGTGTTTCCATTAATTCAGAAATGCTATTAAAGTCACGCGTGAATACGTTTGTTCTCATGATAAGTCATTACAAACATGGCAGCGATGGATGTAAACACATAGCATGTTGCTACCACGACACTAGCCCTCATCATCAGAGGAGACGTCGGCGTCTTTTATCGA